CGTTACGGATTGCTTAGAAAAAGAATGAAAATAATGCGAGAGAGAAAGAAATAGGATGCTCATTTGTATGTTGGATGAGCGCTTGCCTCTGGGAGATTATGTATAGTTGAAGACATCATGCTGCAGATCTTTTTGTGGAGATGAGGCTGTGGATGCTGCTGGAATATATATATATATATATATATACACACACACACACACACACACACACACACACACACATACACACACACACACACACACACATTTTATATGATAACAGGTGAAAGAAGATTTGCAATAAATGTAGCTTTTGTTTCTTGACATTGCAGGGTTGAAGCAAATCACAACCCTGCAATGTTGTCATTTCATTCTCCACCCTTTAAGTCAGTGTTTCACAACCTTCTAAATGCCGTGATCCCTTAATACAGTTCCTCATGTTGTGGTGACCCCGAACCATAAAATTATTTTCGTTGCTACTTCATAACTGTCATTTTGCTACTGATATGCAGGATGTATTTTCATCCACTGGACCAAATATGGCACAAATACCCGATATCTACAAATTTGAATACTGGTGGGGTGGGGTGGGGAGAGCAGATTGATTTTGTCATTTGGGAGTTGTAGTTGCTGGGATTTATAGAATCACCTACAAGTAAAGAGCATTCTGAACTCCACCAATGATGGAATTGAACCAAACTTGGCACACAGAACTCCCACAACCAACAGAAAATACTGGAAGGGTTTGATGGCTTTTGGGTTTTGGAGTTACACCTACATCCAGAGAGCACCGTGGACTCAAACAATGATGGATCTGGACCAAACTTGGCTTGAATACTCAATATATCCAAATGTAAGCTTTGGTGGAGTTTGGGGAAAATAGACCTTGACATCTGAGAGTTGTATTTGCTGGGATTTATAGTTCACCTACAATCAAAGATCCCCTTGAACCACACCAATATAATTGGGCCAAACTTCCCAAACAGAACCCCCATGGTGACCCCACTGAAACCCCCTTTCGACCCCCAGGTTGAGAAACTCTGGCATGCCTCCCAGAGTTTTCCTTTCCATTGCTGGAAGATTTGGTGTCTTAACATATTTGTTTTTAAAGAAGGGATTCTAAGCAGGAAGCAACTATAACGCACTCTTTGTTTGGTCAAATTAAAAAAAGTGCACTTTTTGTCACTACACATTACATTCACCAGCAAATACTTTTCCTGGTTTGAAAATGGAGTATAAGCCTAGTTTTTCAGCCCCCTTTTTAGGCTGAAAATGTTCCCCTCGGCTTATACTCGAGTCAAGGTTATCTATTACTTTACTTTGTTATTAGTATCATTTTATTACATGAATTATTTTAATATATTAATTATTATTATATTTACATTAGATTAGATGTCACATTAGACTCGAGTAAATATGGTATTTCTTTCCCCGCCACCTTTTGGGCTATTCTAGTCAAATGGGGTGCCTCTGGCTCGCTGTGCACGCATGAGATTTTGTTCTTCACATGCGCTTGTTTTGTTTTGGGAGGGGGGAATGCGTGTATTTGAGGCTGGGCATTTCGATGTTTTGTTGCATTACGTTAATTCCTCAGCAGTGCAATCAAATTCATGTCGTAATTAAAGCTGTCAGTTGGAAGGCAAGCCAATGGTTGCAAAAACACAGCATAACAAATGAAGTGAAATGCTTCTGCATGTAGCTATACAATGCTTCGCCAGGCATGAAATTAAATAAGTAATTTGATGTTGACATCAGAAATTGAAATGATACCCACTGTTCCTTCATTCTGTCTGCCTGACATTAACAATGGCCAGAACAAACACGAGCGGCACCAAACTGCCTCCCCACCCAACTTCCTCTCCTAATTCACAATATATATGCAAAATCAGTACAGCAGACCTGCAAAGACCTGAAGGATGTAATTTCTATGAGTCCTTGATGAGCGGCTGAATACAGAAAGGGTTCTTCGTGTGTTTCAGGGCCCAAAATGCTTTGCACTGTCAATAGCACAACAGCCAAAGGCTTATTCGTGCAGTGCTGTAGTCGCTTGTCATTCTGGATGGAAGCCTGAGCCCATCTCTTTGGCTTCCCTTAGGGACATGCTAATCAGCCACGATGCCTATGTTGTTTACAGTATTAATTCATTTATTGTTTTAGGGACAGGCATGGGATTGCATCCCGTTTGACAGTTCACAAACAAATGTATCAGATGCTTGTCATGGCCACAGTCCTCCTGGAATATTTCCTGGCAATTCCCAGCACCAACGGCAACTATTCACCTTTGTTGTTGGGTCTCAGCAGCAAGATGCTGGAGTTGATGGGGATTCTGCCTTGGAGGATGAGGAGAATGATGGATTTTTCAGAGTCTGTGTGTGATCAGGCTGAATCACAGTCAGAAATGCAGGTCGTAGATCAGAGTGAAGAGCCTACAGCTGCAGAAGAGATAGAAGAAGTTTGGGATTCTGTTTCTCTTGAGAATCGGCGTTCACAACCTTCTTGGTCTTCAGAGTATGGGGAGTTCCCCCGCAATATTGTTGGAATTCAACCTCACAATGCCCAAGTCTCAAGTCCTCAATGAGGAACAGTTTAGTTAGTTTAGTGTAGACTAAGGGTTTCACTTCCCCCATGTATGACAGTTGGGAATGTATCTATTTTCTCTCTCCTCTGTTTCTGCTGCCATTCCGATTGGTTGTGTAGATTGGATACTTTTCTAGTGGAAGCCTTTACTTATTGCGTGTTGTGTTTCATGTTGTTTTAAATGTTTAATTTGTACTATGATATTATGTATACTGTTTTGTTGGAAACCACCTTGAGTCGCCAATAGGCTGAGAAAGGCGGTATACAAATACAGTAAATAAAATAAATAAATAAATAATACTTTGACTTCTGTTTCTTACATCTTTGTATGTGTTGTGTGCTTTGAGATCTCCCTCTAAGTGTGTGTCAGAGATGCAGTGCTTGGATGATTTTCCCCTCTCTTGAGATGGGTGTTAAAGTAGCTCAGACCCAGTTATTTACTATGAAGAAATGCAGTTATTTTTTATTATTGTAAATAAACCTTTTGTGATTTTTAAGATTGGACTCTGCCTCTTTTCCTGCCTAAGTTCTAAATTCTTTACAGCCACAACCAATGACACTTCATGCTCTGCTTGCTAAAGAGCTGATGAGACTTTTGTATCCCATTTATTTTTGGATGCTCTGCTATATTTTGGGGTAGTTTTCCCTAACAGATATGAGATTAGGTCTCTGCTCAGAGAGAGCAAAGGAAAGATTAATTAGAAGGTCAGAAAGACTTCATGAAAAACAGTCCTTGAAACTCTGGTGCAGATTTATTTATAACATTTATATGCCGCCCTTCTCACCTTGAAGGGGTGACTTCATGATTTCTTGGTCAGGTTTGAGCTTAAATTAAGAGCTGGTTTTCTGGTCTCTTCAGAGCAGACAACGTTGCCATAAAATCAAGGACTTCTGGGAATTGGAGGCCCAAACATCTGGAGGACCACTTAGGCTTCACTACTGTTGTGTTTAGTTACCTTAGCCTTAGCATTGGTTTGGGCTCAGCAGCAAGATGCTAAGGATGCTGGGGATTTTGTCTTGGAGGATGAGGGGAATGATGGATTTTTCACTGAGTCTGTGTGTGATCAGGCTGAAACACGGACAGAATTACAGTCCCTACATCAGAGAGAAGGGCCGGCAGCTGCAGAAGACATATACGATACTTGGGATTCTATTTCTCTTGAGAACTGGCCTTCTCAGCCTTCAGAAGATGGGGAGTTACACCATGATAGGAGCTTAGGTCTTTGCTCAGAGAGAGCAAAGGAAAGGTTAATTAGAACACCAAAAAGTGGGCCCCTGGTCAAAGTGGTCCCTGGTCTAGTGGTCCCTGGTCAAAGAAAGGTTGGGAACCACTGATTTATGCCTGTTCTCTTGACTTCATAGATTTCATGTACCTTGTCTTCATGGATGATTTGTATCTTGCTATCATGGACTATTGATCTTTGTATTTTGGGCTACTGCTATTTCATAGCACCCTTTCTATTGCTTTTTGGGAATTGCCATTTTCTCTTTTGTACATACATTTTTGTAAACAGACTGTAGTTAGCTACTTCTGGACTCTATGTGGTGCTGGATGAAGAGGTGTTCCACACCTAGAATGCAACACTTGTGATCTCTCCCAATGTTAGGGTTCTATGAAAAGAGGAACCATCCCCTTCTTTGAATAAAGTGGAGATCGGCAAGAACTTGGTCCCTCCCAAGGTCCCCTGTACTCTCTCCAGAATGGTGCCATATCTGGCTTTTTGAATGGAATCAACAAAAGCACTTCTCTGTGCATTTATGCCTTTTACATTGATGCCATCCTTTCCGCTTTAGTCAAACAAAACACATTATTTTTTGGTTGAATACTCGGCAAACTCGGAAGGAAGGAAGGAAGGAAGGAAGGAAGGAAGGAAGGAAGGAAGGAAGGAAGGAAGGAAGGAAGGGGCGAAGGGAGGGAAGCGTGCAAGCAAGAACATGCAGTCTTAGTGCCAAACTTGCAAACCTTTTCCCTTCCATCAGTCTAGGAATCCCTCCTCCCTGCCCACTCCTTGACTGCCACACAACTAAGTCTCTGGAGTCCGGGGCACTGAATGCCAACATGTCATGGAGGTTGGTTGATATGTGTCTATTTAGTCTCAATGTAGGCCAAAATGCCATCATTAATTCATTATCCAGCTGCCTGTCAAATAAATTGGCAATTACACCCACCACCGGAGCCTGGAATTTCAGTAAATAGCGTGTTACTGTCAGTGGAGCGGTTGAGGAATATAAAGGTGGGGGAGATTAAACAAACTGTGTGTTTGTTTCATTAGCAGATGACATGGACCAAGTGCTTTCGGGACGATGTTGGGGTATTTGTGTGTGTGTGTGAAAAACATTTTTAAAGGATCCAGTAATGAGGGGATGTGGGTTGGAACGTGGAAAGAACCAAAGGAATGGGAGAGAGAACTGCTTCTGATTTGCCTGTTTCTCTTTTCTTACAGACCTCGACGTCATCTAGCTTGGGAACAGGCTATTTTGTAAGTGGATCTCTGCTTTTTTTTATATGCTTGTTTTGAATGGTGTAGATTAGAAGATGGCGATAGCTACGTTACGGCATTCTCAGAGGAAACTGATGCATAAAGTTTATCAATTTGGTCAACTGTTGCAACTACATAGCCCCATCACATGTGTATATAGTTTCCTTGTCACTCATAGCTCTCCAGCACTGCAGAGTTGTATTTTTGTGTGTGTGTAAATTGTGATATCTTACTTAGTGTTAAGTACTACCTATATAGAAGTGTGCATGTTGTTTCCTCCAAGTGTTCATCTGATGGGCTAATACATAGCATTGGGGTCCTGGATCATGATAATAATATGCAGCTATAGCATCATATATAGCAGTGCTTCTCCACCTTCCTAATGCCGCAACACCTTAATACAGTTCCTCATGTTGTGGTGACACCCAAACATAACATTATTTTTGTTGCTACTTCATAACTGTAATTTTGCTACTGTTATTAATTGTTATGCAAATATCTGATATGCGGGATGTATTTTCATTCACTGGACCAAATTTAGCACAAATATCCAATATTCCCAAATTTAAATGCTGGTGAGGTTGGGGAGGGGATTGATTTTGTCATTTGGGAGTTGTAGTTGCTGGGATTTATAGTTCACCTACAATCAAAGAGTATTCTGAACTCCACCAACAATGGAATTGAACCAAACTTGGCAGACAGAATACCCATGACCAACAGAAAATACTGCAAGGGTTTGGTGGGCATTCATCTTGAGTTTTGCAGTTGTAGTTCACCTGCATCCAGAAAGCACTGTTAACTCAAACAATGATATATCTGGACCAAACTTGGCATGAATACTCAATATGCCCAAATGTGAACACTGGTGAAGTTTGGAGAAAATAGACTTTGACATTTGGAAGTTGTAGTAGCTGGGATTCACTTACAATCAAAGAGCATTTTGAACCTCACCAGTGATAGAAGTGAACCAAACTTCCCACACAGAACCCCCATGCCTTGAAGGGACTCACTGGCGCGAGCCTCCCTCCAGCCTTGCACGTTCTCCCTTGCTTGCGCATGCGCACCACACTGTCATGCGCCAAGCATGCCTGCTCTCTCTTCCCCACTTGGAGTCTCAGAAACAGCCCCCCCCTTGGCTGAGAGGCCAGCCAATCACAATGCAGGAGGGTTTTTGATAGGAGGATTCACTGTCTGGTTCCAAAAAGAAAAGGACAAGCAAAGAGATCTTCAGCCTTCTCTGCAGAAAATATATGTTTTCTGATGGTCTTTGGCGATCCCTCTGAAACCTGCTCGTGATTCCCCCAGGAGTCCTGACCCCTAGGTTGAGAAATACTGGACTAGAGCTTCCATGGATCTGAACACTCATGGGAGGCCCTTAGCTTTCTCTCCCAAAGAGTTATGGTGCCTCACCAAACTACAGCTCCTAGAATTCCATAGTGTTGAGCCATGGAAGTTGACGTGGGGCCAAACTGCATTCATTCTGCAGTCTAGATGTACACCTGGAGACGGGCATTCAAAACCTTCCTCCACCATGGGAAATCACTTGGGCAAATCATATTATCTTGGCTTGAGGAGCTCAGTGGCAAGCCTTGTCCAAACGAAAAAAGAAATACCTATCCCATAATGAAGTGGGATAGGTTGGAGACACAGAGCAACAAATAACAACAGTGGGAGCCACCAAGAGATGGATGTGTCCACACAACTCTGGAGGCTATATTAATACCAGGTTCAAACGGCAAGAAAGAAGATTCCACCTGAACTTTAGGAAGAATTTTCTAACTGTGAGAACTGTTCAGCAGTGGAACTCTCTGCCCTGGAGTGTGGTGGAGGCTCCTTCTTTGGAGGCTTTGAATCAGAGTCTGGATGGCCATCTGCCAGGGGTGCTTTGAATGTGAGTTTCCTGCTTCTTAGCAGAATGGGGTTGGACTGGATGGCCCACGAGCTCTCTTCAGACTCTATGATTCTATGATTTTCTTGTAATTTTTGGCAATATTATAAAACCAATACAGTATGTATTTCATTTGGCTCCTTGACAGCACCACATCTTCTGCCAACAGACAATGTTCTGTCTTGGGTTGCGGAGGAAAATAAACTTTTCTTTTCGCATCCGCGGCATGAGGCGCACTCCCTGAAAGCAAGACGAGGTGTCAGTGGCTGCATCTGTCATTGAATCTCTGAGTGGCCCAAGCTGTCAATAGCAGACGTGCTGTGCGCTAACGCCATGTGGCCGTCTTTTCTTTGCTTCCCATGCTGCTGCTCGCAAAGTATTGGACTCATTTTATATGGATGCATGTATGAGTTCATGCACAAATCTTCCATCACCCCCCTCTCCCCTTATGATCTTATCCGTCTTAGGAATCCACATCTTCCCTCCAGGTGTCATGATGCCTTGGTGGTGCGTTGTCACCAAACTTTACAAGGCATGGCTTGACTGCATGAAGAAGTGTGCATCTAGTTTAAAGCTTCAACTACTAATTATTTTCCTAATGTACCATTTTTAAAGGAGTTGGAAGAGGTGCTATGGGGAAAAAGGAGAACGTTATTGCCCCTGGAATAGTTCAGCTTCATGTGCCCAAAATGGGAGTTAAAATGGCATCAAAACGTGTTAATTTTACAGTGTAGATCAGGAATGGGCAAACCCAGGCCCAAGGGGTGGATGCAGCCCCTTTGGCTCTTTATTTCAGGCCCTCCTCTCTCTCATCATCCTATCCTTCCTCTCCTCCCTCCCTCCCTACTTCCTAATAGGGGGGCTCCTCTATTATTATTAGGGTTGAATGAAAAGTAATGCCTCCTTCCTTTATTACTTGGATTTGGATGGGAATATTTTAATAAATCAAACGCAGAAATAATCCTTAGAATGTGCTCTTTAATTATCACTATTCACTTTTCCACATAACCACCAGACAATTGGATACATTTCTGCCAACAATGAAGCCGTCACAGAAGAAGTCAACACTCTGTTTCCGCAACCCATCGTGCACAGATCTTCCGATAGCCAAGCAAAGCAATAATGTGACCCACACGTTCTTGTAAAATGCCGGCTATTCTTGAAATTTCTCTCTGAATCTATCTGTCAACCTTTTACTTGTGAAACTTGGTGGTTGCTGCCACAGGACGTCCAACTCCTTGTTTGTCACGCAAGTCAGATGTTCCCACCTCAACATCTTTAAACTTACTTGCCCAACGACGCACAGTACTCACATCAACACAATCACCATAAACAGCTTGCATTCTCTGATGAATCTTTTTTGGGGTGACTACATGTTGCTTAAGTCACATTGACCGACCATCTGCGCAGGGTTCCATACTTCGCACTTTAACAACACAACCATTCAATGCTAAGGCTTCCTGGCAAAATGGAACTGTAGAGAAGAGTCTACTGAACAAGCCAGAACCTGCTGTTTACCAGTATTGCCATCTGTTGAAGAGTTACGAAGGTGGAGGCATTACTTTTCATCCAATCCTCGTATTACATTTATTATTTTGCTTTATATTATTATTATTATTACATTTATTATTTTACTTTATTATTTTTATTATCACACTAATTATTTTACTTGATTATTATCACATTTATTATTTTACTTGATTATTATTGAAAGGATATGTAAGCACATTTACATTGAAGGTTGGAATAATGGTTTAATCAGAGTTAGACAGTCTTATCTTAAACAACAGTTTTATGTAAATATTCAAAAACACTTAACCTATAGATGCCTCAATTAATTTAATGTTTATTTTGAAATTGACCTGTAGCTGCTGTATTTCCTACCATCAGTTTATACTCGAGTCAATACTTTCCCCCCAGATTTTTGTGATAAAATTAGGTACCTTGGCTTATATTTGGTTCGGCTTATACTCGAGTATATACGATATATCAAAATCCATAATGTTGGCCCCAAAACCTTCCCTCAACTTATGCATGAGGTTGACTTATACATGAATAGGCACAGTAATAATTTGGATGGTATCACACGACGATCTGGGTGAGGACCATACACTTAACAGAACAAAGGACATCTTTATGAGCCCAAACTGATTTGCTTTCCTGATGCTTCCCATGCGCTGAGAGGTTTTGATGAGAGAATACTAAAATATACAATCCTCCATCTTCAATGTCTTTCACAAGGAAGACATTCAGACATAGAGATTGGTCTTCTTCTTGCCCTTCAGTTCTAATTGTCTTCCCTCTCCCATTGCAAAGCCATTGTGTGAATGTGTGAAATGGTACATTCCTGGCCCGTGGTTTGAAAATACGAGTGGCTTTTCAAATAGGATGTCATATCCCAAATTCAGTAGCTCTCGATCAGGTTGCTCCCTTAACACAGCTGTCTCATACTGGGCTCTCCAGGGAAGAGCTTCTGGAACGTCATGCTACACCGCACCATGTGGCGTCCCAGTGGCATGCCGCCACAGTGCAAACAGCTGTTGAGCTCATTGCCTTTTAGGTCCATCTTTTATGCATACAGCTGTAGAAAGCTATTTCCTCAGGGAATGTTCCTGCAACGTATGCTTCCAAGCTTTACCAGATTGGGTGCAAATTAAAGCTTCTCTCGGTGGGGAATAGGGGAGCTCTTTGGCAGCTGACGAGCAAATGTCAAGACAATTCAGCTTCCTCCTTTTCCTAAAAAGGTTAATTCATTTGATCCATGCACACCCACCTTGTACGGTGAAATACAGAACTAAATACAGGTCACTCAGACCTCACCTGGACCATTGTGTCCAATTCTGGGCACCACAATTGAAGAGAGATATTGGGAAGCTGGAAGGAAGGGTGGAGGAAACATTATATAAAATCAACATAGATACATCTATTCCTTAATATTAATTACAATGACACACACCTCACCCAAAGTAATAAAAATTCTATATATCCTCTATAGCAGTGGTTCTCAACCTTCCTAATGCCGCGGCCCCGTAATACTGTTCCTGATGTTGTGGTGACCCTCAACCATACAATTATTTTTGTTGCTGCTTCATAACTGTCATTTTGCTACTGT